ACACCTAAACCCCAAACCCTAAACCCTAAACCCAAACCCCAATCCCTAAACCCCTAATCCCTAGAAGCTTGAACACTCATCCCCTAATCCCTAGAAGCTTGAACACTCAAATCCTATAAACCCTAAACCAAATAATCCCTAGAAGCTTGAAGACTCAAGCCCCACTTTGCAGCCCAGGCTCCAGGTCATGCTCTTGCGGGTCACACAGCAGATGTATTGTCCAAGTCTCAGCCTGGGCTGGGGTTGAAGGACCCTAGAAACGTTTCATAATAGTAGTATATATGGACCCTCTAGGTTAGGGTTTAGGGTTTAGGGTTTAGGGTTGAGGGTTTAGGGTTTAGGGTTTAGGGTTTAGGAGCTTTTCCTAAAACCTAAACCCTGAACCTCCCTCCCCCCCACAAAAAGCCCGGGGTGACACCACGACAACAGAGATCCTCATCGGCCGAGGCTGAAAATCGCCCTAAAGCCTTGCCGAGCCTTAGGCCTTAGGCTTATGGGAATCCGTAAGTGAGAATGGCTTGTCGGAGATCATGAGGTCGGGTTGCATGCGCATCTGTGCCTGTGACAGCATTCTGCCATGTTGCCAACATAGGGTCCAAGATGTCGAGTTTTGACTTTACGGTGCTCCCAAAGCTTTCAGAGTCAGTGCGTCCTGATCCTCGCTCAGAGCGGCGCCGACATGTCTTATGTTGTCAAATTCTGGGATCCATCTGATTTTTGCTTCCCTTGTCGGACCGTGCCGTTTCCGGACTTCTTACAGAAGTCTGGAATCGAAGAAGCAGACTGGATCGAGTTGCTGGGCTCTTTGCGTTCCTGCAGGAGTCTGCGGGAGAACCCATTTGCCTTCTTCTATGCCGTGTGTCATATACTTTTTCTGGGCGCTGTCATTCATGGAGCAAGATCGTGGAAGTAATCACGCAGGCCGAAGACACCTTCAACCAGAAGTGCGCAAAGAAGCTGGGTCTTTGTGTACCTAGGTATGCCACCAGTATATTTTCTTATAACTTTCCCTAAACCCTAAGCCCTCAGCCCTAAACCCTATCATGCAGACCCTCCCCCTACATCCGAAGCCCTAAACCCCTAAACCCTTGCAAGGTATTCGTAGACTGGGAGAGTGGTGAGTTGGTATTCCACCCGCCCCCCGAAGAAACGGCTGCTCCAGTGACCGTGGGTGCCAGCCAACCTCCGCAAGAGAAGTCTTGGTACCAAGCCATGACAGAGACGCTCTGGCTGTTTTTAGGGTTTAGGGTTTAGAGTTCAGGGTTTAGGGTTATAACCGTGACCCTGTGGTTGGGGATAACATTTGTTTTGGTGGACTAGAATGTGCTACACTGTTTAGTAATATAGTCGCACATATCGTGACGTAGTAGATCGGACCATAATACTGAGTGAGCTGTCTAAGACATTTTGCTTCTTTAGCATTTACAACATAGTGTTCACCAATGTTGTAGTCTGTGATACACTGTAACATGACGTAGTCTACAATATCATAATAGAGGCAAAATGTTATCGGTAGAGCAAAACTTAACGTAATATGCCGTCGCAACTGGTATCAAGTATCATCAGGTACTTTCACATATTACAATATACCAAAGTGCGATGTAACATAATCAAGTATGGTATGACATGGATCGAAACTGGTACGCTATAGCCTAGGACAAGCTGAAGTCTAATCGAGTGGAATATATACACCACAATACAACTAGAACATGATATAGAAAAGAAAAGAAGAGAAAAGAACGATACTGCATTAGAATGTTTCGAAACTTCTTACATCCTATAGCAGTCTGTTGTGATATGCTTATAAAACATTGAGGTGCATTGCAGTCTCTTCGAGCATAGTGAAAGATGGTTTATGTCTTCGAGCATAGTGGAAGATAGTTTATGTTGGGATGCAGTAGCTACATGCATAACCGGGATACCGTAAGCCCTAAACCGTACTGCTGATGATATAAGTCCTGCATTACATGAAGGACCCTAAACTATGGGAATTATGGTACATTCCTTACTATGGGTAATGCAGGATTTACATCGTCCGCCGTAGTATTGGTAACAATTCCGGCCAAACCTGTGGAGCTTAGGACTTCGGGTCGTTCGGCTCTGGGGGTGTAGGGAGGTTGTTAGGATTTTAGGGTTTAGGGTTTAGGGGTTTAGGGTTTAGGGTTTAGGGGTTTAGGGGTTTAGGGGTTAGGGGTTTAGGGTTTAGGGTTTAGGACCTAAGTTTAGGATTTATATCATCAGCCGTGGCACGCCATTTCTCCGAGCTTGGGCCTGTACTGCCTTCGGGGCCTGTAGGGTTTAGGTTTTAGAAGGATTAGGGTTCAGGGTTTAGGGTTTCGGGTTCAGGGCTTAGGGTTTATAGGGTTTAGTGATGTCTCTTCGGTCAGTGTTGGAGCCAGGGTAGTGAGAGCGTGAGAAAGATTCGGACCTTGAAGCCCTGCAGCCTATAATCCCCAACTTCGAGGAAAGGCATGGACGTGCTTGAGCAGGCGAAACACGCCGTGGGCCTTGGGGCAGGCGCAGGAGATTCTACGGTAAGCCACATTCTGAGCTTCCCGGTGCAAACCCAGGACCGTGCTAGGATGCATGGTTCACCTTAAACCCTAAATTAAGAAATCCTGGTCCCATAACTAGGGCTCAAATGAGGACCCAAATCAAGACCCAGGGTTTCTTTATCAGGGAACCCTAAACCCTAAACCTTTGCGAGGTGGAAAAAGGCCCTCAAAAAAAAATAAACCCTAAGAGCCCTTGGCAGGACAATGCGGTGTGTGCCCAAGCTTGTTGCCCGATGCAGCTGGGACTCGCAACCCCCTCAACCCGAAGGGTTTAGGGTTTAGGGTTTAGGGCTTAGGGCTTAGGATTTAGGGTTTAGGGTTTAGGGTTTAGGGCTTAGGGCTAAGGATTTAGGGTTTAGGGTTTAGGGCT